CCCCGCGCCGCGCTGTGCTGCTCGTGCTCAACCTGCTGCCCCCGCCCCGGCGTGACGGACTCCTTTTCCGTACTCGGGCGGCCCCGCACACGGACCGGCTCCCCTCTCCTGGACTCCGAGACCCTGGCAGACCCTCGTAGCCCTGGCACCGGCGCGGCCCCGACCCCATCCCGAACCCGGGCGAGATGGTCCCGCTCACTCCCGGCCCAGGCACGCTCCCGCCCCTGCCTGCGGCCGACCCAGGCCCACTCACTTCCAGGCGCTCGGCTCTGGACTGGACGCTGCGCGCGCCGCAGGCTCCCCGGCCCGCAGGTCCAGGGAGCCACCTACGACTTGGGGGCATCCCTCCCTGCACCCAGGACGCCTCCCTCCACTCTGAGCCCCAGTATCCTGGGCCCAGAGTGACGGCCCTCCCAGTGTCTCTCTGCGCCCTGAAGCAGAGTCTGGCTCCTTGTCCTCCGGGTTCCCAGTCCCCAGGTCCCCGTAGACTCCCGTTGGCCTGACGTGGACCCCCAGCCAGAACCCCCTGCCTGGTCTCGCGGCCCACACCCTTTCCAGTGCGGGACGGCTTCCCCGCCCGTGCCGACAGCCCCTTTCCGGCGCCGCCTGGCTCCCAGCTGCGCCCCACGCCTTGGCGGCTGCGCCAGTCGCACTGCGGGCGCCGTGTCCCCGCCGCCTGCCTCCCCAGGACTCGCGTCCGCTGCGTCCGGACCTTGCCAGGCCCAGCGCACTGGTCGGGCGTGACGAGGCAGGTCCCACCAGGGGTGCGGCTGTCCTCGGAGTCCAGGGGTCTCGCATCGCAGAGGGACCGGCGCTAGGGGTCGGGGGAAGCGCGGCTTGGGTGCGGTCATCGCCACTACCGAGGGTGGGAGCTCTGCCAGCTGCCTGAACTGGCGCTTTGGCATTAGAGGCCCCGCGTCGCCAGCCAACGCAGGATGCACCCCATCTATGGCGCGTGGACCACTGTTCTTGGTCCAGTCTCTCAGTCCCTGTCCCTCTCCGCGAGCGTCCCTTGGGTGGGTTTCCTTTAAATTTGTGCCTCTGGGCCCCCGCGCCCGAGGTCTTGGGAAAGCTCAGGGAACCAAAGGGGTAAGGGAGCTTCAGAGTGTTGGACTTAGGGCTCGGTGCAGGCCACCTTTCCTTCAATTCATTCCGGGACTGGCCAGAGGGGACTCAGGCTGCCGGCCTGTGCCATGTCCGTGGGCTTTAGAGCCCTGCCTGTCCCCAGCCACACCCTGGGAGCCAAGCTCTCTCATGTATGCCCTATGATTGTGCAGGGGCAACAAGGCAGCCCCTGTATTGATGTTTGTGCAGGGAGTAGCTTTTCATTTGTGACTTTTTGTCACCAGTTAAGGAAAACCCTAGTCTGGTTGTGAAAAAGTCATTTGGGAGTGGGCAGCAGTGTTATTTTCTCAGCATCAAATGGCAGGGGACATACTGGGAAATGTGTGCAGAACAAGTGACAGTCTGCTGTCTTGGGGAACGCTTACATTTCTGGGGCCGCTGTAGGAGAGGTGGTTTCCAGGGTCACTGCTTGGGCTTCAGACAGGAAGGAGCCTCATCAAGAACTGTTCATCAGGAACAGAATATTTTCAGCGTGGCCTTGCCTGCTTCAGTTTGGAGAAAAGGCTGAAAATGGGACATGTTACCACCCTTGATGGTGTGCCCCAGACATAAGAATTGTGTTTGTGTCTCCTAGCAGCTCTTCCGGCCACACCCCAGGAGCTGAGCACCCAAAGAGAGTTAGTGGCTTAACTGATCTGACGATCCCCCGCAGGCTGTGTGGTGCAGAAGTGAGGGAATACAGTCCGTCCAGACCCTTCCTCTGCCCGTTGTCATTTCTCTGCGGGCCTCTTGTATTTGTCCCTGGCCCTTGGACTTGAGCCACATCTCAGTCTCAGATTTCAGCTTCTGGCTGAAGCAGCACTGCAAGCTGGTGCCCTGTGGTAGGTCTGTGCCTTGTGTTTGAGATCTGTCTTTGGAGTTATATCCTGATTGTTTGAGGGGTTGAACTGTGTTATCTTACCCAATAGCTTTTCATTTTTCAAACTAAAATTCAGATTTTTGCCTTGGATTAGAAGCTGGATTGTATGTGTCTTCCTGTCTCACTGAACATGGTTTGGAACAGTGAGCCTAGAATCAGTTCTGGGAAGATTCCCGGCCTGGAAAGTTGAAGTGTTAAGTGCTAGAGGTGGGTGGAAGCGCCGACAGAGATTGTTGCCCACAGTTAGATTTTTTTTTTTTCCATTTTTGTATGTAGATACACAATTCAGACCGCATTTTTAATTTGATCCCTGCTGTGGTTTAAATCTGAACACTGAATTTTTTCTTTGTTCATTACAATGTGATTGAAAATACTCCCAAATAAAAATCTTATTCATTGTTCCTATAGTTCTAAAAACTGATTGGGAATGCTTAAAATATTTTCATATGACAGATTTTAATGTCTAAATCATTAACAACTACTTAACTTGGGTAAAAAAGTACCCAATGAATAATATGGTAGTTGAACATTCAGGTGACATTTGCAACATTCATTTCCATTCATGTTCTTAAAATCAACCTTTTAAGTGCTTAAATGCTTTTTCTTGATGGACGGTGGGCTGGTAGTTTAAGTATTGCCCTGCCTGTGAGGGCTGAGAGGAAAGATGGTGTGTAGGCCTCAGCGCCTATCCTGGCTTTGCTGGGAGTTCTGTTTTTCCTAGGATAAAGCCTTTCCAGGAAAGAGTGACCCTTTAGGAAGATGGAACATTGCCAGGCACCAGGGCGTATACCTCCCGTAATCTTAGCTGCTTCGAGGCTGAGGCAGGAAGATTTCAGCCTGAGCAACTTTATGAGGCCTTGTCTCAAAATAAAAGTAAGAAGGGCTGGGGCTATAGAGTTTCTCTGGGCTTAATCTCTGGTACTGAAAAGAAAAAGGTGAAATGTTTTCAAATAGTTGGTGTCTTCATTTGAAAGTTAGCGGTGCTTGTGTTACTTACTTGGCTAGGACCTGCAGCTGACTAATCTGGGTGAACATGCCTGATCACCAGGAGGGGCGGAATCCTGGCGGGGGCACAGGGACCCTATGCCTGGGTTGCACAGGATATTGTGCGCATCACTGCAGAGCACTTCGATGATCCTCCAGGGTGTTAATATTCTGGTTCAGGTAGAGGTGAGATGGCTTCGCCAGGAGAGTGCCGAGAGCCTGGTGGGTATGTGTTTTCCAGGAGTGCCCGTACACTCTGGGTGCAAATCGATGGTCCCAGCAAGACCTTGTGGATGCCCACCAGCACCAGGCCGTGCCTCAGTGGGCCAGGGGTCCAGATCCGTACTTGGGCGGGCCCCCAGGTTCCTAAGGACCATCCCAGTCTGTGACAGGCCCTAGAGTAGAGCTAATTACTTGTACCCTGGTCACCTTGCCTCCGGGCTGGCTGGCATCCTAGAAGTGAGTGGCTGACTAGGAAGGTCCCGGGGAGGTGGCCTGGTCTCATATCTGCATGAACCCCACGTAGGTGGAAGGTACAGTCTGACCCTCTGCTCAGGGTTCCTGACAGCGGCTGAGGATGACCCAAATAGCAAACTCCACTGGAAGCACAAGCAGGTGCTAGGAGCCGCAGGCCCAGAGCACGGGGGAAAGGCTCTTGGTGGAGCCTGGTGACTCTTGGCCTTCTCATGGCCTGCCCCGGTGTGCCTGACGGGGAGGAGCCGTGCGAGGGCAGGCACCAGGTTGTGCCTTGATTTCCCCACTCTGTTCTGCTTGTGCCCTGCTCTCCCTATGGCACAGCCAGTGCCCAGGCCTGCTCTGGCAGTTGGGGTTTGATCATTAACTTCTGCCCGGGCTGCTGCTGGGCTCCCTGCAGATCGGCTCCAGGTTCCCGGTGGAGGTGGGGCTCGCGTGTGAGCAGCGGGTCTCCTGTGCCTTGGCCTGGGGCCTGGTGCGGGCGGGGCTGGGGCCCTGGGGGAGCAGCGCTGAGGCAGGGGGCTGGCTGGCCCTGTGGTACCCGTCTCCACAGCCCCGCTTCCCCTATCCTCCCTGTCCTGTGACCTTCATGCTGTACAGGGTGTGTGGGGAGCCAGCCACTTTTTGGGCCGTTAGGGTTGGCTCTGCACTTTGGTGGCAGGTAGGGACCCTCAGCCCGCAGAGCATGGGCTGTCTCGGCAGGCCAAGGGTGAGGCCACCTGGGGGGAGGGGGCAGCGTCCGTGTGACTCTGTCGTCACCCAGCGTGGCAGTCTTACTGGAAATGTGCGGCGCGGTTTCTGTGTAATGGGTGAGTCAAGGCCTGGGAGCGGGAGGCTTCCCGTAATTGATGTTTGGACTCAGTGGCATCCTGCAGCCGGCTGGCTGTAGAGGGAGCCCAGTGCTGGCCGCTGTGCCTGTATTCTGGAAGGTGTTCAGGGTCAGCCTG